ATCCCAAGCCCTTAATGTCTCCTTGACCCAAGATGTGCTTAGACAAGCAAAATCAAACTTTCCTTTTACATGGCAGTCGGAGGCGATCACGTATTTGGGAATCCAATTACCAACTCACTTAAAGGAACTCTACGATAAAAACTTCTTACCCCTCTTGCGCAATATCTCCAAAGACCTTCAGACTTGGAACAAACCTTGGTTCTCCTGGTTTGGTAGAGCAGCCATCCTAAAAATGAACGTGCTTCCTAGAATATTGTATCTACTGCAAACAATACTGATTAAATTACCGAATTCTTTCTTTGCATCTTATAAAACACTCAGTACCTCCTTTCTTTGGCATAATAAACACCCAAGAATTAGCTTTGCACAACTTACCATGCCCAAGAAGGGTGGAGGTATTGGATTACTTGATATTGCCTGCTACTACAGGGCTTGTCACCTAGCAAGGGTAGTAGATTGGACTACGAACTACAATCGTAAGGTTTGGGTTGGTGTGGAGTCGGATTTCTTGAAGATACCGCTTGCCTCTTCCCCTTGGCTGAAAAACTCTCACATTCCTTCTGAGTTTCAGGAACACCCTTTTGTAGGCCCCACTTTAGGCTGTTGCCATCAGTTGTTCCAGAAAAAAGAGCTCTCTTCCTCCCCGGGCCCTCTAACTCTGATCAAAATGAATCCGGACTTTCTACCGGGTACTTCTCAGGCCTTCTTCACCGGATATAACCGTCCAGATAATCTGACAGTACATCAACTTTTCAAAGATACTAAGTTCTTATCTAGAGAGGACATTACGAAGATATGGCCATCCCTGAGCCTAACACCATGGATGTTTAGACAACTTCATCACTTCATAAAAAGCTCCCCGCATTTAAAAGATTATTCAAGGCCACTTACTCCATATGAGAAACTTTGCTTTACGGACTCCCCCCAGAGACATGTTATATCCAAGCTTTATTCCTATCTTGATACTGCCATCATGTCTCAATCTCGGAAGGCTTGTGAGGCTTGGTTGCTCGATCTACAAATACCTTTGTCACCTGAAGACTGGGATCACATTTATGATCACATGCATACAGGTTCCATATGTGTCTCCACGCAAGAAAGCAATTATAAATTATATTCTAGATGGTACAGAGTTCCATCCCTGCTTCATAAATTTGATCCTAACGTTTCGGATTTGTGCTGGAGATGTCGACAGGCAACGGGTACGCTCCTACATATATGGTGGGATTGTCCCCTGCTGCAACCCTTCTGGAGAAAAGTGCGAGACCTAGTCTCACAAGTAACCACGTACACCCTAGACTTCAACCCAGCACAATTTTTACTCGCGCACTCCTCACTTCCTTTTCGGACTTATCGTAAGTCTCTTGCCTTACATATGATAAACGCGGCAAAACAGTGTATTCCTGTCCACTGGCGATCAGAACATGTCCCACTGTGCGAGAGTGGTTTCTGAGGGTCATCAGGATTGTGGAGATGGAGGAACTGATTTCAGTGGCAAGGGAGCACCCTGAGAGATTCAAGAAGACTTGGGCTTGTTGGAAACACTTTCAAACCACCAATATCTATCATCTTTCTATGAATAACTGAGACGAGATTTTGGGGGGCACGAACAACCTTTAAAGCTCTCACCCCCAGATTGCTCCATGGATTGAGCCTAAACCGGACTGTATCTTAAATCAAAGGAATAATATACATTAGTTTGACTATTGTACCACGATATGATTGGTTTAACAGTCACTACTTAATAATTGACCCCCCCCTTTTTTTTTTTTTCCTTCTCTCCCTCCCCTCTATGACATTATCTTTCCTATCTCTTTTCATCTGATGCGCTCTTCTCTTTTCTTTTCCTTCTTTCCTTCACACCTTTTTCTTACCCAACTGACTATATCTCTTATAAGGGACGGAGTGTCCTCTCGCATATACAGTTGTGGCCAAAATTATTCAACCCCCACTGAAATTGAGTGTTTTGGCCAGTTTGACATTGCTTTTGATCATTCAGTCATCTTGCTTACATTTACATTAAAGAGGCACTTGTAGGTCAGACAAATATAACATAACAGTTATAATGAAATAACCACAAATGTCTTTTCTGTGCTCACAGCATTATCAGTTTTATTCAACCCCCAAGTGACATTCAATCTTAGTACTTAGTACAGCATCCTTTTACAGTTATAACAGCTTTTAAACGTGAAGCATAGCTTGACACAAGTGTCTTGCAGCGATCTACGGGTATCTTCGCCCATTCTCATGGGCAAAGGCCTCCAGTTCAGTCACATTCTTAGGCTTGCGCACTGCAACTGCTTTCTTTAAGTCCCACCAGAGGTTCTCAATCGGATTTAAGTCTGGTGACTGCGATGGCCACTCCAAAATGTTCCAGCCTTTCCTCTGCAACCATGCTCTAGTGGACTTGGAGGTATGCTTGGGATCATTGTCCTGTTGAAAGGTCCAACGTCTCCCAAGCCTCAGGTGTGTGACGGACTGCATCACGTTTCCATCCAATATCTCCTGGTACTGAAGAGAATTCATGGTACCTTGCACACGCTGAAGCTTCCCTGTACCTGCAGAAGCAAAACAGCCCCAAAGCATGATTGACCCTCCACCATGCTTCACAGTAGGCAAGGTGTTCTTTTCATCATAGGCCTTGTTCTTCCTCCTCCAAACATAGCGTTGATCCATGGGCCCAAACAGTTCTAATTTTGTTTCATCAGTCCCACAGAACACTATCCCACAACTTTTGTGGTTTGTCCACATGGCTTTTGGCATACTGCAGTCGACTCTTCTTATTCTTTGGAGACAGCAAGGGGGTACGCCTGGGAGTTCTGGCACGGAGGCCTTCATTACGCAGTGTGCGTCTTATTGTCTGGGCTGAAACTTCTGTACCCACATCTGACAAATCTTTTCTCAGTTCCTCAGCAGTCACACGGGGACTTCTCTCCACTCTACGCTTCAGGTAGCGCACAGCAGTCGAAGTCAGCATCTTCTTTCTGCCACGACCAGGTAGCGTTTCAACAGTGCCCTTTGCCTTGAATTTGCGAATGATGCTTCCTAAGGTGTCTCTTGGTATGTTTAACATCTTTGCAATCTTCTTATAGCCATTGCCCTTCCTGTGAAGAGAAATCACCTCTTCTCTTGTCTTCCTGGACCATTCTCTTGCCTTCACCATGTTTGTAACCACACCAGTAAATGTCTAGAAGGAGCTGAGTATCACAGTCATTTTAAAGCTGCCTAATTGGTGCTTATTATGCTTGATTGCTGCTCGGTGACATCCACAGGTGTTTTCAATACCTGATGGAAAGCACCTGTATGAACCTCTGTTCTTCAGAGTGGTAGTCTTTAAGGGGTTGAATAATTGTGGCAATGAAGAAACCACATAAGAACCATTTACTACTGTATTACATAAACAATTGATGTCATTTTAGTTGCATTTGGGTAGTTACAACGTCCTTGTAGGATTTGATTCTGAATACAATTCCAAATGTACACTATAGTCCCTAAACCCCTTTACAGCATTGGGGGTTGAATAATTTTGGCCACAACTGTAGGTGTGCTTGTCCTTTATAAAAAAGAAACCTACATTTCCCAGATACGGACACATACGATATGCATGCCTTTAGATGATATCGTTGTCCTATGCTTCATTGGCCTATTATCTGAGCAATCCCTACTCAATAGATCAGCATCCATCCTAATTTTCTAGACTACCATTTATATTCAATACTTTACTGGTTTATATCATTCACCTGTTATAATGTGTTATTTTGCCTCAGAACGATTCACAGTTCAAATGAATATCTGATAACCCGGTAGGCCGATGTATATACGCGGACTGTGCTCCGTATCTGTATATGACTTGATATGCCTTTTACTTCAATAAATACTTTTTTGGAATAAATGTTACTACATTTTCTTATTTATGATTTGTTTCAGCCAATAACATTCTTATGATGTTGAAGAAAATATGATACAAAGTTTGGAGACCCAGAACTCACAGAGCTGATTCTGCTCATAAGAACACAAACATTTGTACATTTGTATTCCTTACTTGTTTATATTTCACCATTTTATTCAATATTCATTTTCTTAATAAAACATCACTATGAAGCTGCAATCCAGTATCACACCCAGCTTTTTATCTAACATGTGTTTTAGTTTTTTGTGTTTTTTTTAAGAATACACACTAAACATTTTTGTGTTCTGTTATCTGTGATGAATAGTGTGTCAATCCCACACAAGCCAATTTCAATATCCTGTTGAAGAGAACATAAAAAACAGCAAATTCCCAGACTGATGACTGTTTTCTATCTGCAGAGACATTTGGGTGTTGTTTTTATGTGAGTTACATCTACTTTTATGGATATGTCAGACAAATAACACACAGTATAACATTGATGTTTGAATCAAATTGTAGGAATAGGCAATGACACTTGTGATGAACATGGAAATTTAAATGACCATTATGATGGGCATTGCTATATTATGGTAGACTGTTTTACCATGGAAAAACAACTCTTCTGCATGTTGGCTATATCAGGTATTCTATCTTGTGATTTATTGTGAGAGTTTTTTTACAGTCTTCAAAATGTGCATTCATTTTGGTGTTTGAATATCCTTTATCTGGAATGAAAATCAAACTTTTATTTATCAACTAACTGATCTGCTTATTCCAATCAATATTGTCTAGAAATATTAATTTTATTGAAAAGATTAGACATACCTACAGTACATATAAAGTAAATGTAAAGTTTTTTTTTCAGTATCACAGGTTAAAAAAGACTTAAAATCCAGTTGTGACCTTCTTTATTTTCTGTTTAGAAGCATGTCTCACAATTTGTTGTTTATTTCCAGACCATTAGCACTTTTTTAAAGTCCTAAAGTCTTAAAGCTGAAATTTATTTTCATGTATTATTGGGGGGGGGGGGTTACAGCACCAAACACATCAGTTATAATGGTGTGTATCCCATTACATGCAGCCTGCAGATGACTGCTTCTGGTAAAGTGTTCCCTGCAGTGGCTTCTTTATAACCGCTGGCAAATGCCTTTCGACTTTCTTCAGACCAAGGGCTGCCTGACCATTTGGAAACTTGGGCACTGCCCGAGGGTCCGGGGTCAGTAGGGCCCCATGAAATGCCCCTGGTACCTTTTTCATAGGCTTTTTTTTTCGTTTGGGCAAGAACACAGGGGCCCCATTATCCCCTATTGCCCGGGGGCCCCATGAGTTGTCAGTCCGCCCCTGCTTCAGACACATTGAGAGTTAATAGCAGATGGTGCAACTGAGAAAAGTTGAGTGGCTTCATTACCGCCTTCTGACATCTCTGCTATTTATATTGCTAATATTACTACTCTCCCACAATGCATTGCATTCTGTGAATGGGCAGTGGAAATTCTATCTTTCATTTGCTTCTCCTCAATTCCCAGAAGGTGATGCATTGTGGAAGGGTAGCAATGCAAATTTTGTGAATGGTGGAAAAGGCAGAAGGGGGCAGGTGAGTAGTGCAACCTTTCTTAGTAGCAGCTGCTTGCAGGTAATGGGATACACACATTTACACATAACTTTGTTGCTGTATCCCACAAACCCCAAAGGAATGAAACTTTAGCTTTAATTTTGGACTACGTTAAATTTACTATATTCTCATTCAATACAGTTTTTAAGAAAAAAGTCGTATGGTACCTCTAACTTTTCAAAAATTTTAAAAGGTTCACATTAAGCCTTGCATGATGTACCTAGACTCCACTCCCAATTTGATTTTATTTAGGAAGAGTATGCTTATAGTTGACACATGTCCTTTTCCAAACCTTAAGACTCTTGATACTAGGGCAAATAGCTAAATACATGATCAAATAAAGGCATTTCACTTAAGAGTTGGTCTATATGCTCTTTATCCCCCATTCAGGAGTCCACTTTTTCTTACTCACAGTGTCACCAGGAACATCATAGAATCAGAGGGGAGAGAAACTCTGATATTGTAAAACCTTTTTATTGAAAAAAATGCTTTTACAGATACATAAAACCATAAGTATATGCACTCACATCAGTCTATGCATTCCATTGTGCACCCAGGTTAAACAGCCTATTATCATGACGGGCCGGCTCCACCACAGCCCAGTGGAAGCATAATATGTACTACCATTCAGGTGTTCTCCCCACTTCCGTGTGTCTCCATCACAATGGAACAACGTCACTTCCTGTAGCTCCGCCTCAACGTACGTTTCATCATAATGACGCCCTCAAGAGGCATTACCAGTTTGTGAACTGTGCACTTTAACTTTAATCTCTTAGATTGTAAGCTCCAAGGAGCAGGGTTTGTATCTTTCAACTTCTAAATGGACACTATAGTATAACCTCTTTATTTATTCACCTTAGATATGAGATTCACTTGGTTTCTAGTGATGAAAATGATTTAAAGTATTTGTGAAGTCACTCAGACTCAAGCCTTAAGAAATGTGGGATGTGCCCGCCGAAATGTTGACATTGGAAAATTCCTTCTGTAAGTGCCGTTGAGTGCACCTACTGCCTGCTGCATATTCTATGTCCTTATTTCATGGTCTGCACCAAGGCCAATACCTCTACAAGTGTGTGGGGGGGCCCATCTCTACACTACCTGTACACGGCACAATATATATTTATGATAGTAAGTTTACTGTGTCTTGCTTTATACTGTAGCTTTAACTTCATCCATGAGTCAATTAGTAATTTTTTAGAGATGAGATACTCATAGTCAATATGTCTAAATCTGGATACCAGATTAGAAATTTTTCAGAGCTTGTTCTCCAAACAGATTAGACTTTGAAAATATCATCTATCAGTTAAGGACAACCTGACAAAGTCTTGGCCGTAACACAAAGAGACCAGCAGAATTCTGGTTCAGCGAACAGCAGGAACTTATAACACAAAACATGCATTTCAGAGAAGTCCACTTATTCATATGGTTGGTAAGGCATGCTTTCAAATTTAAAATAGTTTATGAAATAATAAACAAAGTTAAATATATATTGAAAGCAGTGGAAAGAACAAGCCTTTTATTTTGTCTTGATTTATGACAATATTTTACTTACCGCCCTGAGTAGAATTTAATTCTTGTGTTCCTAAAATTATTCCCAAACCTGGATTAATTGCCAGGGGCAGACAAGGATTTTCCCGCTGGCCTATATAAATAGCTGTACTCTTGTTTCTTCATTTTAAAGCTCCATCTACAAAAGTCAGCTGAACTAAAAGGCGATCATTTCTCTTTTGCAACCACAGCAGTTTAATTCCTTCATGATCCACCCAATGTTTTCACATTTATGCTTTCCATAATTAGTATGGCAATAAATGTTTTATTTTATGGTCTAGTTGTTTTCTATGTATATATTATTATTATACAGGATTTATATAGCGCCAACAGTTTTCTCAGCGCTTTATAATATAACGGGAGACAACACAGCAAACAATACAGTTCAATACAAGAGGGTTAGGAGGGCCTGACCCTTGGAGCTTACAATCTATATATCCTTTTAGAGCAAATAGGCACGTACTGTATATACTTGAGCAATATCTATTTCGTATATTACTGTAAATATACAGTATATTATATAAAGTGTATGTCCAGCCAAAACCTTATCTCTTAGTTTTGAATAGGGTAGTAAGACCGGGGATCTGTTAGAGTGATTTATATTTACTTCTTGTCCTGCTGATATTTTACTAGACAAGAATTGGGGGGGGGGGGGGGCACTTTAACAGAAACACAGGCAGAAATAAAAATGCTTTTTTTAAGTAAAGTAGGTGAAGACTACAACTCCTGCCTAGTTTTTATTGCTGTCTGGGCTAATTTTGCAGATTTTCCCTTCCTTTTGGTCTTTTAAAAAGCATTGTCAGCAGCACAGGAAATGAGGGCGACTTTCCCAACTTCAGTGCAAGATAGCAGTAAAAACCTGACAAGTTTCTAACCACCCTCCCCACTTTATCCAAAACTAAGCAAATAGTTTTTGCTTAGACATATGTGGCCACTCTGTTAACTGCCTAAATTATAACTGAATATATAACTTGATATTAACATACAGACGTACCTTGGTTTACAAATTCTCCTGGACATTTCGTATTGCAAAAAAATCGTAAACCGAAACCCATAGGAATGCATTGAAAACTAATTAATCCGTTTTGGAGGTCAGAAAAAAGTAAAACAAAGGTCTTTTATCTGTTTGAAACTCTTTATAAAGTGCACTTTAAAGGCATAAATACTGTACAGGGACATGATTAAAAATGAATTCGTAACTACATTGAAAACCAATTAATCCGTTTCTTAGGTCAGAAAAAAGTAAAAAAAAGTCTTATCTGTTCAAAACTCCTTTTCAAGTGCATTTTAAAGGCTCGGGGCCGATGCTATAAACCTCCCAGTCTCAATGCATTCTGGGGAAAACTTTCTTCGTATTGCGGAAAGAATTTGTAGACCGAGGCATTATTTTCAATGGAGTTTCACTAGGAAGGAATTGATTTTTACCCTCCATAGCCAATTGGATCATGCTTTATAGGGTTTTTTTTGCCTTCCTCTGGATCCACTATATAAAATTTGGCACATGGAGATGCCCTAATTTATTTATTTATATATTTATTTCTATTGTGTGAACTAGATGAACTTTGAATCTTTTTTTTTAAATTTAACTACGATATGTAAAGATAGATGCTTAAATTTCTACACCTTTGCCCACAACAATTGCTTTCTTTGTTGGCGTTAGACCACACTAAGTACCGAGGACAAACATACTATTAGACACTGTAGGCATACTCTTTAAACAGTGATGTCTAGATGTGTATTTTCCTTGTAAAGTTATAAAACACAAATATTTCCCATCAGTAAAAATATAGCTATCCTAAGCTATGTAAGATTATTTACATATAGTCACAATATTCTAAACCATGTTAGCACCATAAAATACAAATACAAGTGCTATGCTGCTATATGTGAAGGAGGTGATCCAAGCAGATTAAACATTATTACATAGTTACATAGTTAGTCTAGTTGAAAAATAAAACCCCCACAAGTCTATCTAGTTTAACCCACAGGCCTACAGGCTCCAGTGTTGGTAATATGGCGTTGCTAAAAATGTGTAATTTTTTTTCCACTTAGTTCTCTATTAATTGGTCAACTCTAGAGACCTTATTCTATACTCTGGCAGCAGCCCTGAAACCTGGACCCCCATTTATGCAAAGTTTGAACTAACTCCGATCTGACCCCTCCTGCCTTATTAAATGTATTGTAGCCTTACTGAACAATACCTGGAAGAGGCAGGAGAAGCTTTACTTTGAAACTAAAGTTGAGATTTGCATGATTGAGTACACCATGTTAAAAAGGTCCTGGATCATTCAAGAAAATATCTTTAAGGTCTATGAAGGCACTACTTTCTCTGCCAGCTTTTCTCTCCTGGTAGCAGTTTACTGGGTCTATTGTAAGCACAGGTTCATGTTTCTTAAAGGACAGAACCACTTCTTTAAAATGCATGATGCTTCTATTTACTAAACAAGAAATTTTGTATTTAAATACAACCTCTGCTGTCAGCTGCTAATCTTCTTAAAATGAGGCATTCCATAGAATTCCAATAGAATTATGATAACTATTTATTTTATTTATTTATTTATTTACATATACTTATATAGTGCCGTCACTTTATGCAGCACTTTACATACATATATATATATATATATATATATATATATATATATTGTACATTCACATCAGTCCCTAACCCTCAAGGGGCATACAATCTAAAGTCTCTAACTTACATTCATATGTACACATACTAGGGCCAATTTAGACAGGAGCCAAATAACCTACCAGCATGCCTTTGGAGTGTGGGAGGAAACTGGAATATCCGGAGGAAGCCCACGCAGGCACAGGGAGAACATGCAAACTCCAGGCAGGTGGTATACAGTGAGGAACAGAAGTATTTGAACACCCTGCAATTTTGCAAGTTCTCCCACTTAGAAATCATGGAGGGGTCTGAAATTCACATTGTAGGTGCATTCCCACTTTGAGAGATAGAATTAAAAAAAAAAATCAGGAAATCACATTGTATGATTTTAAAGAATTTTGTTTGTTTTGCACTGCTGAACATAA